GAAGTAGAAAGTACAGGTATTTGAGTTCAAAATGTAAGAAGTAGAAAGTACAGGTATTTGTGTTCAACATGTAAGAAGTAGAAAGTACAGGTATTTGAGTTCAAAATGTAAGAAGTAGAAAGTACAGGTATTTGAGTTCAAAATGTAAGAAGTAGAAAGTACAGGTATTTGGGTTCAACATGTAAGAAGTAGAAAGTACAGGTATTTGAGTTCAAAATGTACGAAGTAGAAAGTACAGGTATTTGAGTTCAAAATGTAAGAAGTAGAAAGTACAGGTATTTGTGTTCAACATGTAAGAAGTAGAAAGTACAGGTATTTGAGTTCAAAATGTAAGAAGTAGAAAGTACAGGTATTTGGGTTCAACATGTAAGAAGTAGAAAGTACAGGTATTTGAGTTCAAAATGTAAGAAGTAGAAAGTACAGGTATTTGTGTTCAACATGTAAGAAGTAGAAAGTACAGGTATTTGAGTTCAAAATGTAAGAAGTAGAAAGTACAGGTATTTGTGTTCAACATGTAAGAAGTAGAAAGTACAGGTATTTGTGTTCAACATGTAAGAAGTAGAAAGTACAGGTATTTGTGTTCAACATGTAAGAAGTAGAAAGTACAGGTATTTGTGTTCAACATGTAAGAAGTAGAAAGTACAGGTATTTGAGTTCAACATATAAGAAGTAGAAAGTACAGGTATTTGTGTTCAACATGTAAGAAGTAGAAAGTACAGGTATTTGTGTTCAACATGTAAGAAGTAGAAAGTACAGGTATTTGGGTTCAACATGTAAGAAGTAGAAAGTACAGGTATTTGGGTTCAACATGTAAGAAGTAGAAAGTACAGGTATTTGGGTTCAACATGTAAGAAGTAGAAAGTACAGGTATTTGGGTTCAACATGTAAGAAGTAGAAAGTACAGGTATTTGTGTTCAACATGTAAGAAGTAGAAAGTACAGGTATTTGAGTTCAACATGTAAGAAGTCAAAGTAAAAAGTCGTCAGAAGAATAAGTCGTGGAGTAAAGTACTGATACCAGAAACATGTACTTAAGTACAGTAACAAAGTATTTGTACTCCACTCCCACCCACCTCTGTGTAACTGGGAGAGATGGGGGGGGGGGGGGGCTAAATGGAAAGAGAGGAATGGTAAATCAGAGACACCAATTCAATTAAGTCTCCTGATGGTTATCTCTAATTGGCTTCGCAGACACTGACAGTCTGTCGTCTCAGTGAGAGAGACTACTTTCATAGAATGACCTGAACAATAAATGCTTTTAATCTCTGCTTCAAAATGTGACTTTATTACAAAATAACTGAAGTATTTATCGTTCAAAAGTAAGAGGAATTATTTTCTTAAAATCCCTTCCTGCTTAGTGGGCGAAGTAGCCAATCATGTATATTCCCTTATATATAATGTTATATCCCTGTGTGCTTTAAAATGTGAATTTCATAAAAAATAATCGTGCAAATGAACAAGTCTTCATCTCTTCCTGCTAAGAGTAAATCACAGTATATGTAATTGTTTATCCCCGTAACAGTATTTATCACAATAGTTGTTATGTAAATTAAATCAATGAATGGTTTACTGAGTTAAATATGTTAAATAGCCTATAGTGAAACCCCCAATTCTTTAAAAGGAAAGCTTCCCGAGACCAATAATTGTTGTCGGATGGCAAATCAGCGATACCAATTAGATTAGGTTCCCTGATGGATATCTCTAATTGGCTTTTGAGCAGAAATGAGATCAGGAATAAGCGATGGTTTTAAGATCTGCTTTACAATGTGACTTTAATACGGAATAACTGGAGTATTAACCCGTGCAAGTGAATTAAATCACGATTAGAAACCTCCACCCTTTGGTTGTGATGGTGGCGTGCAGATTTTTAATTTCCTCCGCCATCTGTAGCACAACAGGGTTAGGGTTTAATCCAAGAGAGGGGGGGGGGGGGGATTTAACCCTTCACTAATCACCACCCAAACCTTAACGAGCCATATCATCTGAGAGTCTGTGGGTCTCAAAGGTCCTCCCTCTGTCCACCGTTTAATGAAACCTCAGTCTTATATGCGCCTCATCATTTCCGATCCACTCCAATATTTAAAGTGTTTTTCCTTGGCCAGTGCTCCATCCTTCCACCAATTTTCATGAGAATCGGACCTGTAGTTTTTCCGTAATCCAAAACAAACCCAACATTTGAGCTATGATTGCTTTTCACAGTAGTTTATTTTGTGTGTAGTCTTATAGAATAGTGCTGACCCGGATGTAAGCATCACAAAGGGCTCCGTCAACAAAAAGCCAATGGGATTCTCCATGTGATTTTGGATTGTTGCAGGAAATAATCTCTGTGTCAAACTCCCTCTGTCCACCGTTTAATGTCTTAAAAGCTATTGTGACACCATATGAATGCAGCAAAATGTAGTAGTTTCAATGAAAGTGAAACCTTAGTCGTGTATTCACCTCATAATTTCCGATCCGCTCCAATATTTAAAGTGTTTTTCTTTGGCCAATGCTTCATCCTTCCACCAATTTTCATGAAAATCGGACCTGTAGTTTTTCCGTAATCCTAAACAAACCCAACCTTTTAGCTATGATTGCTTTTAACAGTATAGTCTGTAGAGTAGTGCAGTGATAATGTACTTTTGTAGGCTGACAGGGAAGTAAGCATTGCAAAGGGTATCCCTAAAAAAAAAGCCAAACGTATATGTGATTTTGGAATTTAAAATAGTCTCTGTGTCAAACTAACTTTTATGATACTTACACATCTAGTTCAGCAGGATAATCTCCACATATTAACACCACGTTATGATTTCTGAAGTAAAAAGCTAATGTTGGTCTATAAAGGAACTACAGCACGGTCACATGACTTCACGTCACCACCGCTAAGCTAAAGGTGGCTAATGTTGGGCTATAAAGGAACTACAGCACGGTCACATGACTTCACGTCACCACTGCTAAGCTAAAGGTGGCTAATGTTGGGCAATAAAGGAACTACAGCAAGGTCACATGACTTCACGTCACCACCGCTAAGTTAAAGGTGGCTAATGTTGGGCTATAAAGGAACTACAGCACGATCACATGACTTCACGTCCCCACCGCTAAGCTAAAGGTGGCTAATGTTGGGCTATAAAGGAACTACAGCACGGTCACATGACTTCACGTCACCACCGCTAAGCTAAAGGTGGCTAATGTTGGGCTATAAAGGAACTACAGCACGGTCACATGACTTCACGTCACCACTGCTAAGCTAAAGGTGGCTAATGTTGGGCAATAAAGGAACTACAGCAAGGTCACATGACTTCACGTCACCACCGCTAAGCTAAAGGAGGCTAATGTTGGGCTATAAAGGAACTACAGCACGGTCACATGACTTCACGTCCCCACCGCTAAGCTAAAGGTGGCTAATGTTGGGCTATAAAGGAACTACAGCACGATCACATGACTTCACGTCACCACCGCTAAGCTAAAGGTGGCTAATGTTGGGCTATAAAGGAACTACAGCACGGTCACATGACTTCACGTCACCACTGCTAAGCTAAAGGTGGCTAATGTTGGGCAATAAAGGAACTACAGCAAGGTCACATGACTTCACGTCACCACCGCTAAGCTAAAGGTGGCTAATGTTGGGCTATAAAGGAACTACAGCACGGTCACATGACTTCACGTCACCACTGCTAAGCTAAAGGTGGCTAATGTTGGGCAATAAGGAACTACAGCAAGGTCACATGACTTCACGTCCCCACCGCTAAGCTAAAGGTGGCTAATGTTGGGCTATAAAGGAACTACAGCACGATCACATGACTTCACGTCACCACTGCTAAGCTAAAGGTGGCTAATGTTGGGCTATAAAGGAACTACAGCACGGTCACATGACTTCACGTCACCACCGCTAAGCTAAAGACGGCTAATGTTGGGCTATAAAGGAACTACAGCACGGTCACATGACTTCACGTCACCACCGCTAAGCTAAAGGAGGCTAATGTTGGGCAATAAAGGAACTACAGCACGGTCACATAACTTCACGTCACCACCGCTAAGCTAAAGACGGCTAATGTTGGGCTATAAAGGAACTAGAGCACGGTCACACACACGGGAAGTATTCATATCTGTTCTGCAGTAATACTGAATGTGTCCAAGATAAAAGGTTGGCTTTCGTTAATCAGATCCAGAATCAGGTTTATTAATAAGTAAGAATAGTCTTTAAGGCATGTTCAAGAAAGTAAAAATATTTAAAAAATGTGTCATGGACATACATTTAATGCACTGGCTTTAAGAGAAATTCAAATGTAAAAGAAAAGAAAATATACAAATATAAATAACAACAATTTGTATATTATTAAAGGATATATTATACTGAAATGATAGAGGAAGTGCAGTCTGTTTTTAGCTGCAACTCAATTACATAGTAGTTTAAGTGACATAACACATTTTTATTGAAATGACAGTTTAATTTGGAAAATGTCCGTGAAAGAGATAATAATTAATGACCAGAAACATGAAATGGCTTCCGAAGCTTCCTCAACAGACGTGTTGTATTTGAGTTAATACAGAAGAGGATGAGGGCCACGTTACCAAGAGTAAGAGAACATTATGATATACAATTCAGGATTCTGAGAAAAAAGTCAGAAATGTAGCCTCCGTCAGGATTCTGAGGTTTCCCAAAAATATGTGAAAGAAAAAACTTTTTTTGTATTAAGAAGAAAACATCCAGAACAAATTTAGATTATTTTTTCCTGCAATCTCAAAATGTTGTCAGACAAAAAAATAATATATTATTATATATTATAAAAATATATTATTCAGAAATCTAAGAAAAAAGTCAAAATGAAAACAAAATATTCTTCGAAATAAATGTGGCCATTATCCTCTTCCTATAGGTTAAACACACTGCAATCATTTCTGTGTGTTTAAGGTGTGCGTGCATGCGCGTGCGTAAGGGGCGTGGAGGTGGAAGGGAGTGTTGCATCCCTCCTGTCACGTGACCCTCCTGTCTTCCCCCTCTCTCAGTCCGGATCTCTTTGTTGTGGTGTCTGCAGCTGCTGCTCCTTCACCGCGTCCTCTGCCGCTCCGCCGCCGCTCCTCTGCCGCTCCACCGCCGACACAAACACCGCGACTCATGGTCACCACCCTGACCGGCGGGGGGGGGATTTAGGGACGTGGACTGGAGGCTCGTGGTGCATAAATATAAATCCACGTGAGGAGACACACGCGGAGCTGCGGAGGAAGGACGCACGGACGGATGGAGGGGATTCTGCTGCTTCCTTTCTGCACGAACCGGAGCGGAATCTGAGCTCCTGCGCACATTCCTCCATCTTCTCCTCGGTTTCAAACAGGGATTACTTTCCTCCACCTGCAGCCCGGGATCCGCATCATGTTTTCGGGCCCTGGGAGGAGCACAAGGGGGTCTCTGCGGTTCCTCCTGCCCGCCCTCGTGCTGCTGCTGCCGCTCCACCTGCCTGCCGCGCGCGCGTCGTACTACCCCCACAGCGGGGAGTGCAAAGGCAAAGGGAAAGACTGCACAGGTATGAGCTCTGCACCACACACACCAAATACATACAGCATACATGCATTATTGCACTATTTTCTATTATGTTGCATTGTTGGCAGGTCAGAAAAATGTCTTTGCCATTTCCACACATAGCTGCTGTGCATATGACAATAAAACCTTTGAATCTTTGGATCAGTACTGGGGTGATGAAACATGCATTCATTGGTGCATGTTGGGATACATGGAGTCAATAGAGTCAGGCTTAAGGATGAGGTATTGGTATTTGGAGCCAAAATAGTCAAATTCTAGGTAAAAAAGTGTCAAAAATAGTTTCCCTTGAATGATAATTGTTCTTGAAATGTACAAAACATATATAGAGTTGCCTTTTGAAGATACATGTATTTATTGTTGGGATTCATGGAGTGAACAGAGTCAGATTTAAGAGGGTAAATACATTTTTATCCATTTGTTGTTTTCCTGTGAGTAACAATGAGTCAGATGTGAGGACAATAAGTGCACACAAATGTTTTCCCCGAGTAAAAATAGTCAAATTTAAGTGTAAAAAATATATAATAATAATACATGAGACTTGTATAGCGCTTTTCTAAAAACTCAAAGACGCTTAGAGAATAATAATAATATATAGACAGGAGTAAAAATTGTCAAATCTTGAGACAAAATATGTCAACAATATATGTAAATGTCCTTTGGAGATACATTTTTATTTATTTGTTGATGTTAATTAAAGTAAATTACTGTTAAAATAATTGCCTTTTTTTTATTACATTACTGTACATGTCACTTGTTAGACGCTTTTATCCAAAGCGACTTACATACTCAATACTGTGGACAATCCCCACAGGAGCAATTTGGGGTGAAGTGTCTCAGGGACACAACGACATGCTGACTGCAGTGGGGTTTGAACCTGTGACCCCCTGGTCCCAACACCAACGCACAACCTACTGCGCCACACGCCTTTTGATGTTAAATTAATAAATGTATGCATGTTTTGATTTCTCCTGGAGTAAATATATTCAAATAAAAGTCAAATATATGTTGTATCCCTTTTTAAAAACACTACGTACATTTTTTGAAAAATAAAATGTGACCTGCGCTCCTCATAATCTAAAAATCATATGAGTGCCCTCTGTGCAAATATACTGAATAACGGTTACAAATAACTTGAGTTAAGTGCATTTAAACGCAGGATTTATCCGCTGCTTGTTCTTGTTTCTGAGAGAGAATGTAAATATGGAAATATACATTATAAATAATTAAACAATGTTAATATCATGTTAGCTGAGATAATCTAAAGAATACATGCATTTATTCATTTGTGCATTTTGGGATTCTTCTTTCACTTCACATAGTCAGATATAAGGACAATACATTTACACTTTAACACATATTCCCAATAATATATCTCTGTGTAAATAGACTGTGAGTTTAATATTCTGACAGTATTTGCATCCTGCATTCATCTTATAATAATATTCATGAATTCATTACCCTGTTCTCGCTCTTTAGCGTTTATTAAATATTAAAGAGTGAAAAACAGCAGCCATGTAAATGAGTGTTAGCTGTCACTGCCTCATCTGTTATTAATGAACAAGTGAACAGTGTGTGTTCAGAAACTCACACACACACTTTCTCCTCCTGACCGCTGTGAATACTCTGAAGAAAAAGTCACTAAACAAAAATAAAAATATCAAAAGTAAATATACATGTTGTGGGGGAAACTTCTGTAGCAATGGGAGTCAGGACTCAAAGAGAGACACGATGGAGAGCTGGAGCTTTGATGGAGTCAGGACTCAAAGAGACACGAGGAGAGCTGGAGCTTTGATGGAGTCAGGACTCAGAGAGACACGAGGAGAGCTGGAGCTTTGATGGAGTCAGGACTCAAAGAGACACGAGGAGAGCTGGAGCTTTGATGGAGTCATGACTCAGAGAGACACGAGGAGAGCTGGAGCTTTGATGGAGTCAGGACTCAGAGAGACACGAGGAGAGCTGGAGCTTTGATGGAGTCAGGACTCAGAGAGACACGAGGAGAGATGGAGCTTTGATGGAGTCAGGACTCAGAGAGACACGAGGAGAGCTGGAGCTTTGATGGAGTCAGGACTCAGAGAGACACGAGGAGAGCTGGAGCTTTGATGGAGTCAGGACTCAGAGAGACACGAGGAGAGCTGGAGCTTTGATGGAGTCAGGACTCAGAGAGACACGAGGAGAGCTGGAGCTTTGATGGAGTCAGGACTCAGAGAGACACGAGGAGAGCTGGAGCTTTGATGGAGTCAGGACTCAGAGAGACACGAGGAGAGCTGGAGCTTTGATGGAGTCAGGACTCAGAGAGACACGAGGAGAGCTGGAGCTTTGATGGAGTCAGGACTCAGAGAGACACGATGGAGAGCTGGAGCTTTGATGGAGTCAGGACTCAGAGAGACACGAGGAGAGCTGGAGCTTTGATGGAGTCAGGACTCAGAGAGACACGAGGAGAGCTGGAGCTTTGATGGAGTCAGGACTCAGAGAGACACGAGGAGAGCTGGAGCTTTGATGGAGTCAGGACTCAGAGAGACACGAGGAGAGCTGGAGCTTTGATGGAGTCAGGACTCAGAGAGACACGAGGAGAGCTGGAGCTTTGATGGCAAACACTGACGGTTTATTTGGAGCTTCGGCCGGAGAATTCACAAGACATGTCACGGGCCACGGACCACACGGTAGAGATGCCACAATCAATTCTGAAGAACCCTCCTGTAGTTCCTGGTCTTAAAGGTCCCATGTCATGCTTTTCTGGTTATTACCCGTCCCCTTGTGTTATGTAGTTTTTTCTGCATGTGAACGGTCTGCAGAGTCACAAACCCCTCAAAGTTCACCCTGTAGCGAGTAAAACTCTAACACAGAGAAGACCTGTCTATGCTGCCCCAGAACGCCTCGTTGAGGATTTCTCTTTTTCCATTGTTTACTTCCTGGGTTCTGTGACGTGTGAACACCCAGATCAACAACAAATGACCGGATTGGCCCAAATGGACCAATCCGTGGAGCACCTCACACACCAGGATCCCTTGGCTAACTAACAGGGAGTCCCATTGACTTGCATAGAGCTCCCTGAACGCTGGTAATAGACGAGTTGGGATGGTGGAGAAATGCTCTCCGCAGACCCATTCTCACAGCGTTATAAACCTTTTTCTTACTCAATATCAAGCCACATTTATTGTTTTTACTTCGGCTGTGAGTGTTTGTGTGTGCTCAGGATGAGTTTCGCTTGTTCTCGCTGTATCTCCGACACGGAAACCTGTCCGCTCCTCGCAGCAGCGAGCCTTGCAACGTCCCGACCAATCAGAGCACACTGGACTCACAGGGAGGGCGGGGCCGGAGCTCCAACAAGCCGTTTAGGACAGAGAGTGAATACCTGGTGAATACACATGCCTTCAGGAAGAAGGTTCCTCAGCCTCAGCTCGCGCACCTCCAGGCTGGGCAACAGCTTCCTCCACCAGGCGGTCAGGCTGCTGAACTCTCTCCCCTCCCTCCCTCTCTCCCCATCTCTGACATCTCTCCCCTGAACTCTCCACCCTGCCTCCGACCTTTCTCCCCTGCCCCAAATGGTCCTGGACTCTAACCCCCTAACTCACTTTTCTGCCCATCTCCCATGCTACTGCACTGAAACTGTACTTTGAACACTTAAATTATATTATTAACATTTTAAACTGTATACCCCGGTTATCTAGGCCCTTTGTTTTGTTTAATGTATACCATGTTTATCTAGGCCCTTTTTGTTTTTTGTTTGATGTATATATGTCACACTGTAGGACTGCGGGAAATGATATTTCGATATTTCTGGATGTACAACATGTAGAATTATTGACAATAAAGCTGACTTTGACTTTGACTTTGATACTATACAGAGATGCTGTATGAGAAACCAATGTGATTTTGGAAAATTGCACAATTTAAATCTATTCTAGTAGACCTCAACAATGGAAATATGATCAGTAGAAATGGCCATGACATGGGACCTTTAACTAGTTCAGAGTGTAATGATCAACATTCTTCAATAGAGAGACTAAACAGCTGAGGACACTGAATCACATTTGTTGTCGCTTATGGCTCGGGGTCATCTACACCCCGAGAAGGATGTGTTCCAGGTGTCCCACAACAATAACTATCTCTGACCGAGAGTTGCCCGGTCACAAACTGGTAACAACAACAAAATGCTAGGGCAGCCCCTCCTTAAGGGAGATAACGGCTGCTCAAGGGTTAGGGCATCTGCGTCAGAGGGCGAAAGGTAAACATGTATACAGAATTATTCCCTGACACATGTACTTAACTACCATACTCAAGTATTATTTTGACAGAATTAAGAGGCCTTATTGTACTTTGTGTGGTCTTCCCTCTCCTGTAGTGTCTTCTATAGGTTTCTGTGCATATAAATGGTCTGCAGAGGCTAAAATCTCAAAGTTTAGGAACAAAGTGACATCGCTATGGGTATATATTTCAAATCTCATACTTTTTACTCGAGTACATTCATACTTACAAGTTCCTTTTTTATATAAACACATGATATCTGATATGATGCAGCACTGTACTACTAATATCCCCAGTGTTTTGTGTAAAACTACAACATTAAAATGCTCTTACATGCATTTGTTAGAGATAATACAGAGTTATATAATATTGTATGATGATATAATACTGTATAAATAGCCGTTCTGCATACCGAGTACTTTTACTTTTGATACTTTGAGTACATTTAGCTGATAAAACTCAAACTGTACTGTATTACTGACTTTTACTTGCAATGGACTAGCATTTCTTCTTTGACTAAGGATCTGAACCATAGACTGTATCTGAACAATGATAAATATATTGATTTACCTTGGCACAGAAAGTGTAATTCGAACACCTAACAGATAGATACCAGAGAAACCAGATATTTCTCTGCGCTTCTTTCAAAACTGATGCTCAGATAACATAAAGAAAGGACTTTTGTTGCTGCGTTCAGGGTCTGAAGGGAAAATAAGGCCCTGGAGGAGCATAAAACAT